ACCAACCTTTCTTGCTAGAATCGCATCACAGCAAGTCCAAGCAAACAATCTCTCTGTTTGCAAAGAGCAGGCTGCCTAGACCTGATGTAAAGCGACTCCAGCACCTTAAGATGGAAATGTGTGTGCGAACTGGCCAAGACGGAAAACCAGTCCTTTTGAAATCCATCGCACAAGTTGGATTCTTTATAAAATGATCCGCAATGGAAGACCCATACGTGTTATATGAATGGTATCACCCAAAGAAAATTTTTTGTTTAGTATTATCGCAGGTACGTGTTGTTTAATTCTCACGTCCAACCGCTGTGTCGTTCTACCTATGTTTTTTTTTTTTTTTTCCTTCCCTGTCCATTCATTCATGTCACCCATGACAGACTTTTTTTTTTTCCTCATAATCTAAATTCCCCGTTAACAGTTCTGACGAGAGGGGACGAAACCGGTCGACTGTTGTGTTTTATTTTAAACTTATCATGGCCTTACAATACTACATTTCTAGTTTTTAATGCCTTAATATTTTTTGTACCGTTTCAAACCTATTTATATATATATATATATATATATATATATATATATATATATATATACATATATTTTTATATATATATATATATATATATATATATATATATATATATATATATATAGATATATATATATATATATATATATATATATATATATGTGTTAAAATATATGTGTGTATATATATGTGTATATATGTATATACATGTCTGTATATATATGCGTTTATAAAGGGAAGAGGTTATAGTTGTTCCAACGTGAGAAGAAAAAGAAAGAGAAAAGCACAAATGTTTTGGCTGTAAATATTTAAAAAAAATATATTATATAAATAATTATATATATATATATAAATATATGTGTGTGTATATATGTATATATACACACACATATATACACACGTGTATATATGTATATATACACACATATATGTGTGTATATGTATATACAGATATATATGTGTATATATGTGTGTGTGTACATATATATATATGTGTGTGTATATATATGTATATATTGTTACATTAGCCCAATATTTGTACCCTCACCTCAGATTTTATTAGCATATTCTAAGTACATTGTGTATGTGCAACGAGACATAGGAATATTAATAACTTCTTTATTTCTTGAAAAAGCAGATTGTGGGATATATTTGTTTTTTTCATCCCCAGTTGAATCAGGTCAGTTCTCGGAAGAGAACCTCTCATTTCCTGTCTGGTCATTGATCGTAGACCAGACGAACGCTGTTTGACAAATAAGTGCAAATGACCCCAACAGTATTCCATGAATAACGCCTACGCATTTTTCGTAGGCTGGCACGTGACGGTTTTGTTTCGCGCGTATCGGGGTAACAATTCTTCTCTTAGCTGCTTGACCCCGGACGAGGTGGACATCACCAGAATCTGTTTTAGCAGTTGGAAGAAGTAGATGTCACCAAAACCAAATTTCGCTGTTTGCTGCCCGTAGAATTAAGAACATCATCACCCAAGTCATCTACGCTTTTATGATTCACATGTGTATATTAGAAGATTGATAATCCCTCCCTTTTATGTTCAGAAAAAAGAAACAAAAGAAAAAAAGAGTGCATGAACATCTTTTTTCGTTACACTGTATTGTTGATGAGAATCCTGATCGACGTCGATCATCATCTACTGTGAGTGTTGCATGTTTTTATTATATATATCTTATTGTCTGCTTGTTCTATATTCCTATGATATTCGTCGCAGTAATATTTGCCTAACTGATTACTCATCTCCCCATCCCATGTGTTATTAAGTTTCGTTTATTTCTTTCTTACCTTACTTTTGCATCTTGTACATTTGTAAATAAATTATTTCTATTATAAATTCTCGTTTTGTCTCTTATCGTTCTGTGTCGATGCATTGGAATTTTCTTGCTGTGTTCACTGGTGTCTGGATTCGAAGAATTCCCCTCCTACTGTCCTTTTTCTTTATTTTTACATTGAACCCTGGGATCTCTTATTTATTTATTTTTATTTTCTCGTTGCGTCACGGGAGTAACAATATATATATCTATATCTATATATGTATATATAATAGATGGCCTCTCATATTTGAGGATACCCATATACTAGTGTGACGAGCCAATCCCTATTACAGACTCACAACTTTTGTTGTATCAGTTATTAGTTATTATATCAGACGACATGCATTTAACGGATGTCAGAATTCGTTGAAAAATACATCCCTACCCCTACCTAAACATAACCCCTTTTTCGAACGTAACTAATAACTGATACAACAGAAATTAATAAAAATGAACACGCTACCACCCCTTGTCTGAATGATTGGATCTCTCTGTATCTTTGGAAACAGTTGAATTATGAATTTTCTGTGCCTTTAAAACTCAGTAAATTTAAAAAATAAGTTACTCCAAAATTCGCTTGAGGATGAAATGGAACTAATGTTTTGGGGCTTCCATTTTTGAAACATGGTTATTACTGTGTAGCGAAATAAAACGTATTTTAAACTAGTTAATTAATAATATATATATATATATATATATATATATATATATATTGCAATTCAAAGCAGATTTTTGGTAACTGGGGGTCCTGTTTTACAAAAAAGAAATAGATGATTTAAATTATCCAAGAAGTTCTGCATATAACTAATACAATATGCATATAACTAATATAAACTTTAAGCTGTAGCGACTGCTATGCTGTTCCACGCCCACAATTTATTCGTCTGTGATTGGCTAGTAAATCAATACTGCTTTTCTATAAGACAATTTAGCAATCGCAGTCATCACTTTGAATTCTTCTGTCGTGAACTTGCTCACATGTTTCTTTGATACAAAATCAGTAATTGGTCAAATTTTAACCAATTAAATATTTTAATACTAAATCAATTTTTCCCGCGTTTTCGCTCAGAGCCTACCGGTACCTTTAAAAGAAGTAATTTTGCCACAAGCCGCCAGTAGAGTCCAGCTATTTTCGACTGTCCACATAAATCTACGACTTTACTCACAACATTTCAAACGCACACACAGACACAGATTTTTGTAACACATTATACATATCTCTCTCTGTGACTCAGCCAAGTTCATGAACCAGAACTTTATTAATTTCTCTAAACAACACATTTCTTAATTAACTGTATTCTATTCTAACAGCAAACTCTATTCAACATAGAATCCTGAACATTCTTATTCAAGACAAACTCTTTCGAACATTCAATCATAAATCAGAATAGAATTGAAGGGGAACAACTTTTTTTCCTTAATTATTACACTTCATTGCATGATTGTTGTTATGGGATCTTACCCATAATAATAATAATGGACTATTCCATACTTAATAAATACTGCGCCTCAGGAGTAGGCAGGGAGTCAGTTGAGTCGAGTCAGAGGCAGTCCGAAACAGAGTTACGTTCAAACAATTACTGCAAGACATTGGAATAGTGATACTGGTCAAGACTACATTGTTCTCCCTACTAAACCTGATTGTTCGTACTAACACTTTCTACTTCTCTGTATATATTCCTGTTTGTAATATATCTGTGTTATTCCATATCCGTGTTCGAGTTCTTCTTTATTGGTTCTACCTTGGACTATCACCGTGGTACAAGGACCTGGACCATAACAATTGTTTTATATGTTATATTTCAATATATATCTATTTGTTGATCCACAAGTGGAGTGTCGTTGTTTTTCTTGAATCGTTTAATGTACAATAGATATACGCGCTAAGAACACGCATCACAAAGCCATAAAAAATGAATTTCTTGAAATTTACTAAAATTAAATAAGTGGGTATAAACCGATGAAAAAAATGTATTTTTACCAAGAATTTTCTAAAAGGGAAACATTTATAGAATAATTCCATTCATTTGTGAATAAATTCTGAAAGTTTCATTAAAATCTGACAATCATTTGATTTTTGCAAGAGTTTCCAAATCAATGTGTTTTTCAATTCAAAAAGATGATAAAATTTCCTATACTAAACTATAGTCACCTGCTGTCACAAAAAGATAATTATCAAAATTTAATAATCGAAAATGGATTAAAAAATATAATTTAATAATCAAAAAATCCATTGGTCTTTGCTCTTAATAATAAAAACGATTTTGACTATAAAACTTTTTATTGAGTTTGTTGCATTTTTTATCACGTATGCTCATATTTGAGTGAATCTTTGGCGGTATCTTCGTGTATATATATATATATATATATATATATATAGAGAGAGAGAGAGAGGGGGGGATTTTGATAATTTTTTTACTTATTAAGTAATAATATATTGAGTGATAACTCAAGTTATATGTCGGAGGATTTTTTCCAGGCGTTCCTATTGTTTTCTGTATGCAATATTTTTTTCGAAAATAATCTGGAAATATATGCTTGAGAAGTATTAGACTTGTTGCTATGAGACTCGAAGAGAATGATGAGTTTCGGTTAGGCTAAGCCAAGTTAGATACACATGGTTTGATTCAAGTAGCATCCAACGAAGTTCAAGCACAGTAACATGTAAAACTAGTATATACTAGCTAACACATGATCTGTCACAAATGCTATGATAATTTGCAGTAAGAAAATGTAGAGAAAATTTAAGATTCTGACAGTTAATTAATAATTTACAAGGAAGAGATTGTTCATCAGAAGCTTTAGAAACTGAATCGTGTTAGAGAGATAAGGATTATTACTGAGAATTAGTATTACTGTCTGCTTCAGAAATTTTACTTCTTTAATTAGAATACTTTGAAAATGACTCTAAATGATAATTGATAGGTTTTGCCTTTCCTCCCAGATGTGTAAGTACAGTAGCAGCTTGTGTATAGGCACTGCAGATCTGCTGTACACTCTACTTTTACTTGATATTATTGATAACATTCAATATAACGCGTCTTTTTTTTATACTTGTATATTATATAATCCTTAAGCTTGATGTCAGTAGCCATCCCCTTGTTCACGAAAAATTACAAAAATCCTTGTATGGAACTGTGTGCTTCACAGTTTCAGTAATGGAGCGTTTGGCTGTTGTATGCATGCTCACATGTCTGAGGAAAGAAGCTGAATGCTGGTTAGAGAGAGCACTGTCGCTTACGCAGTGCCGATCCTGTTGTCCAAGTGTAAGGTAATGTTTATTTTTGACTCAGCGTGTGTTGTGTTGTTTTTTTCAGTTGTTTCATTGTATAGACAATAATTTAACCATGACCTCCAAGAAATAAGTTCTGTCATTGTAAGTGAACTTCAACAGCTTAAATTTTTAAGAAACGTAAATATTAAACAGTAACTTAGTGAAGCATACAAACTTTTTCAATCAATGAGCAATAACATGAAGGTTAAAAAGAACCGTAAATTTTTATCCAAAATAATAGATTTTATTTTATTTTGTGGAAACTTTGAAACTCCCCTACGTGGATATGATGAAAAAGATGCGTCAGTAAATTCAGCGGTATTTCTAGGATGTTGGAATTTAATTTGAGAACAACAATTTCACAAGTTCACATTCTCGCTATTTTTTCTATCCTCACTCCAACCTCTTTTTAATTTCAAAACCGGCTCCCAAGGCCTTCATTCTTATCAGAGATAAGAATATATTTTCTGACTAAGGAGAGAGTTAGAAAATAAAAAGGAATTCCACCACCATTATTCTTTCCATGGAGCCATAAAGTCTGGGAGAAACCTCACAGCTTCTTCACTTCAACCTGTTTTCAGTGCCTTCGAAACCGGCTCCCAGGGCCCTGATTCTTATCAGAGATAAGAATGGGTTTTCTGACCAATAGAGGGGCCAGGAAATTTGTACAATGATTTTGGAGGGAAAAGTCCCCGATCCATCGGAGCCTACCAAAACTCCATAAATTTGGAGAATCTTGCCTATTTCGACAGTGAGATTTCTGCCCACCGTATGTGAGGAAGCTCCAGCACCTCTTTCACCAAAGAAGAACTACTAAAAAGTGCTGTCAAAAACGAACGTCGGTCCACTATTCAAGACCAATCCAAGGCTGCATCCCTTCACCACTCCTTCTGACGAGCCCACTGGACTTCTGTCGTCGACCAAAAACAACTCACTCAGCTGCAGGATTCCTTTATCTGCGAACAAATTTCCAACTCTACAAGAACTGTGAGTGTATCTATCAGAACTTTAACAATAACATCTAATCGCTTAAAGAACTCTTTAGGCACTCTGAGAAATATTTTGAGCAGGCCTTAACTTAAGAACATTTCTCTTTTCCCTTTCTTTCTCTACTAATCGTCCTTTTATCCCTTTACCTTTTTTTTCTATATATGTTGTAAATAAACACTTTCTTCTTTTGTTGTTACTCACTGAGCAGGAGTTTTTTCTTTATTCATACGCGCCTAAAAGAGAGAGTTTGTCCGCTCTAATCTTGATGTTTTACAAGATTACAACCTCAACCCTATTTTTAAACACAGCCCTTTGATGCGGGAAAGCTGGGACAAATTTCCTAGCAAGTATTAAATTTTGCATCAAGATTAGATCCAGATTTGAAGAATCACTTAGAAACCAATACAGTTTTTATTTATATATTTATATTACTATATTTATTTAGTTTATATTTTTATCCCCATTTTTGAATTGGTTACTTTCTCTGGGAGTCGTATTTTTTTCCTTTTCGGGTTTATCTCTGTAAATTTTCTTTTCCGATTACTCAGGGACTACTAAGGGCATCGGTATGTCGAATAAGTCATGAATAACCTTCTGGCTGTGATGTCTTTTAATGGTCTTTATCAGGTCTTTAGTTATATACATTAATCTCCCAATGTGTTTATCAATTGTCGCAGTGTGCCCAAACACCACTCCCACCTTTTCTTAAACAACCCCGGATATGCCGTCCGGTAGAGAAAGGTCACGGCCCTTGTGTGCTAAAAATAGCAATGACATCCTTTCAAACTGTCAGAAACATACAAAACTCAATTTTCGCCACTAAACAAGAATAAAAGACCTTTAATTTCAAACCGAAATTAATTTAAATACAGTCAACAAACACCGAACACACTTTTGACTGTAATTAATACGGCCCGAAATTAATTATATTCATTTACTTGTTTAGCGTCACCGCTTTCTCTTGTATGAACCGTCATATCTAGATGCCCGAGACTTCGCAGAAGTTTTTAGCCGGCTACGGAAGCAGCCCTGCCTTCCCTCTGTGACGCCAGCTCACTCCTGCAGCTTCCAGCACTCCTGCAGCATCCACCTCACTCCTGCAGCTTCCAGCTCACTCCTGCAGCTTCCAGCACTCCTGCAACTTCCAGCACTCCTGCAGCTTCCAGCTCTCTCCTGCAGCTTCCAGCACTCCTGCAGTATCCAGCTCACTCCTGCAGCTTCCAGCACTCCTGCAGCATCCAGCTCATCCCAACAGCTCCCAGCGGCCTCCAGCTCACCCCTGCGGCGCTCTACTGACGTCCCGCTACCTATTCCAGCACCCGCTGACGACCTAATCCAGTGCCCACTGACGTCCAGCGCCCGTTATCGTCCGGACACCGTTCCCGAACAAACGACCTCTGTCTTCTTACCATCCACCGTTCGCTAATAAAGACACGATTTCCATCGTCTACAACGATCCTTCTTTGCTATTGTCATCTCCTTGCCTTTGTGTCCCCTGTTTTAGTTGTACGGTCGATTGGCACTCACACCTCTCGGCCCGCTGCAACACAATGACACCAGTATTCCAAATTTCTTTACCGTTTCTGTACTCTTTGAAACAAATTCTTTTTCTCCTGGTATATAGGATTTTGTATCTGTTTTTTCCTTTACTGTGTTTTATTTCCCTTTGGCAACAGTTTATTGAACATGTTGGGGATTAGTGAATGTATTTGGTTTGTTGGGGATGCGCAGAATGAACTAAGATTTTTTTTGCTATGGTGTTAGAATATATCAGAAGGGATTTTTTTGTCAGGTTGTGTGATCTTCTCTTGCATCCACAACAATAAATAATACTTAATATAAAACAAGGCAAAACATGTATGCAATTCAAACAAACAAATGCATTTATATACAATACAAACATTATATACAAAATATTTTACAAGATATTATTGTGTTGGTATGTTTGTCGGTGAATGAAGATTTTTGTTTGTATTTTGGTGTATTTGTATTACAGTCTATAAGGATTCGTAATTAGTGTTTAAATACCGTTATTATGTTTTTAGAATGGAGTCATTCAGAAGTAGTCTACCCTTACCTGTAAGTATGAAATATGTTCAATAATAGTATTTACTTAAATTGTAGTGAGCGTTAATAATTCACTTTGGATAAGTAAAGTCTTGCGAGTTGACGTTCTTTGTATTCACAGAGTAATCTTCGAGTCGAGTTTGTGGGTGAGTCAGTTGTGGCTTCGTTTGCGCGGGAAAATTATAATCGCAAGTGACGTGGATTAGATCAGCGCTTCTCTGTGTTTGCTGGACTGACGATATTCAGTCACACCCCACGAGGGTGTCATGTGGCACAAGGCCTTTTTAACGTGGGCATTCCCGAGCCATTAGTCTCGGCCAAAAAATAGCCCATTTGAACCCGTATAAACGGGTTCAGGGCCGGTTTTACCTCCCCGAAGGAGACTCCGCCCTTCGGCGTAGCCTCCTTCGGGTTCCTCCCGCCCGTAGTAAGAGAGTTAAACCGAACAGTCGCTAAGAAAGTGAGCTGGACTGACAATATTCAGTCCCCCCCCCCCCACGAGGGTGTCATGTGGCACAAGGCCTTTTTAACGTGGGCATTCCCTGAGCCATTAGGCTCGGCCAAAAAAATAGCCCATTTGAACCCGTATAAACGGGTTCTGGGCCGGTTTTAATTCCCGAAGGAGGCTCCGCCCTTCGGCGTAGCCTCCTTCGGGTTCCTCCCGCCCGTAGTAAGAGAGTTAAACCGAACAGTCGCTCAGAAAGTGAGCTGGACTGACGATATTCAGTCACCCCCCCACGAGGGTGTCATGTGGCACAAGGCCTTTTTAACGTGGGCATTCCCGAGCCATTAGGCTCTGCCAAAAAATAGCCCATTTGAACCCGTATAAACAGGTTCAGGGCCGGTTTTACCTCCCCGAAGGAGACTCCGCCCTTCGGCGTAGCCTCCTTCGGGTTCCTCCCGCCCGTAGGAAGAGAGTTGAACCGAACAGTCGCTCAGAAAGTGAGCTGGACTGACTGACTTGGTCAGTTGGAAATCTTCCTTATATAAGGTTTTAGATGTCCGGGTTGGCTCGAATAAGTTTTGGCGCAATTTAACTTCCTCACGTGAAGTTTTTGATTTATCACGTTGCGAGCCAATAGAAATCGCTGCTTAGCACAGTAAGGTTTTTGATCGGTTAGGCGTATAAAATGGAATGTTCCTGTTGCTAGGGGTGATAAGTTAAATAAATGTTCGAGTCCACAGGTTAAATCAGAAGGAATTTTTAGGTGGCGTGTTCGCTAATATTCATCCACAACAAATAATAAACGAATATTTAGAACAGGTCATGCAAAGCAGAGTTAAAAAACAAAGACAAGTAAAATACACAACAATACGGGTAATTTATATACAATTTAAAATAAATATGTACAAATGACTGAGTTATGAATTGGTGATTTGTTGTATATTGATGTAATAAGACATGTAGTTTGTTGTTGAGTATGTTTGAATGCTTAAATCAGTGTTTTGATGATTTGTTGTAAGAATTAATTAAACAGTTTGCTGTTCAACGTAGAAAAGTGTTCGTTTTTACAGTTCAAACGTTAGTGTGTGTACGTGTTGGGATTGCTATGAGTTTGAATTTGGTATCAGGTTTTTATATTAAGATGGTTAGTTTTACGGGCATTTTCACCATATTAATCCGCAACAATATAGAATATAGATATGCAAAAACGAATCAATCACGAGGCAATTGAGTAAGAAACACCGATTATGAGATTTCAATGCATTTATGTACAATTAATATACAATTTGAGAATACAATTGACTTGAACTTTAATGGATAAATGAGAATAGATGTATTTGGCTGCGTAGAATATTATTGTGAATGTTTGAAGGTGTTTGCAATTGCTATTCAGATTTGTTCACAAAATTAAACTAAGTGTCCACTTACGTACTAAATTGTCCTTTGTGCTAGTTCAATTATTAGTGTGTGTACGTAAGTTTGTTTGCATAATTGGTAGGAGTTGCGTACCTTTAGTTGTGTGAGAATTTGATTGTTTGTTTACTATATTAAGTAGTGAGAAAAAAATGTCACTTTTTAAAGTATCGTAAGTGATGTTTGGATATAGTTCCTGAGAGAGATAGAGGGTGCTTGTGGATTGTTGAGTCAGATATTTTGCGCGGCAAAGTCCTGGTTGGTCAGAGTTTTGACGTGCGTGGGTCAGTTTGGCATCTCTCTAGGAATGAAGATCTGACTGGTGAATTGGACTGAAATTCGTCCTTTTATTTGTTTTGGGAAACCAAAGTAGGCTCCAACGACCTGGCGGGAAAACAGATTTTTGACCATGGATACACATTCTAGGGTCGTCTCGACCAATAACAAGCCTAGTTTCGCAATGTGTGGTGTTGATTGGTCAAAGCTAATTCTTATAGAAAAGTCTATTTTTAACGGGGGTGAGTAGACAAACATTGACGATTCTATATACGAGTGTTATGTAAAATATTCTTAAGTTGTACGAAGTTGCGTACCTTGAACTGTTAATTGTTAAAAGTTTTGTTTGTTACTGTTAGTGAATATATATTTCACTTTCTCAAGTAAAGTAAATGAATTTTTGAGAAGTTTGTTTAAAAGAGAGATTGAGTATGCCAAAAGGTTGTTGAGTCAGAGGTTAATTCGCGCGGGAAAGTCAAAGTTTACACTGGCGTGGAATTGGTTGGCATCTCTCTGAGTGTGGAATTCTGACTGGTAAGTTGGTTCGAATTTCTTTTTTTATAGGTTCTGAAAAGGAAAAATAGGCTCAAACACATTTGAGCGCCAAAGGCATTTTCACGTGCATACTTAGTTTTTTTTAAGGCTGTTAGCCAATGAGAAATTGAGTTTGTCAGAACTAGTGTTTTGATTGGATAACAGGTGTGTGGGTGTAAGAATGGATTGTTCTGCAAAGGGGTGAAAAGGTAACGTGAAATAATTCCACATTTACCCCACCCCCGATTATGAAAATGAATTATGAATATTAATATGTAATATACGTCTTGAACTTGGTAGGCCAATGGACATGCCTACCCGATTTGGTACATGTAGTCTTTGTCGTCTCAGTGGTATTTGTTGGATGTACGTGTGCATTTGGTGATTCCGGTTGTGTTGCGTCTTGCGTAGTTGAAGTTCTGTCGTTGTTTTGCACATACGCTGGTTCCAGTCGATCGATGCTTACTGTATTTTGTTTTCCGGTGATGTCGATTACGAAGTATTTTGGTGTTCGGGAAATCACTAGGTGTGGTCCAGTGTAGTTTGGCGTTAAAGGTTTTCGAACCGCATCTCGACGGAGAAAAACATAGTCTGCTGAATGTAAGTCTGCTGGTATGTAGTACGGTTTATTGTACGCCCGTGTTGGTGTATAAATTATATCGGTCATCTTCTGTTTCAAATCGTTGACGAAGGGACGTTGTCTGTGTTGTTGCTGAAAATTTGTCCAGGCAGAGTTGAAGGTTTACCAAAGACTAACTCTGCGCTGGTGCACTTTAAGTCCTGTTTTACTATGTTGCGCAGTGCAAGCATGACAAAAGGTAGCTTGTCCACCCAGGTACGACCATTGGTGGATACTATAAGAACATACTTTAACTGCCTGTGAAACCTCTCCACCAGGCCATTGCTGTGGTGGAGATGTGCTTGATTCCTAGTAGATTTGTAAATTCGCTAAATAGCGTAGATTGGAACTGTGGGCACCTATCGGTAGTAATGACCAATGGGCACCTGAATATTGAAATCCAATGAGTGAAGATCGCATTTGCCACTGTTTCTGCTGTTATCGATGACAATGGTATTGCTACTGGCCATCGTGTGAAACGGTCAATTATGGTAAGTATATATTCGTTTCCGTTCACACGATCCAGGGGACCGACTAAGTCCGCGTGTATGTGTGTAAAGCGACCATCAGGGTTCGGAAAGGTTGACGACGGTGCTTTAGTATGTCTTCCTATTTTGGTTGCCTGGCAACGTTGACACGTGCGGGACCACTGTTTGACGTCAGTTGCCATACCGGGCCAGACGAATCTGTCCGATATGGTCCGCAACGTTGCCTTAGCACCAGGGTGAGCTTGTGAATGGAAATGTTCAAATATTGGTCGTCGCATTGACGGAGGACGATAAGGGCGTGGACTGCCCGTGCTGATACTAATTTGTTGGTAAACGATAGTGGTCTCTTTTCAATCTGTAAAGAGGTATCGGATTGAATAGATGAAAAAGTCTCGTCACTAAGCTGCTCGTCTGCAAGGGTATCAAAATTGAGTGCAGCAGGCTGTACTGTATTAAGCGTTGTACGAGACATTGCGTCTGCGACGGTGTACTTGTTCCTTTGACATATCGAATGTCAGAAGTGAATTGACTTAATCCATATACCGAATGTCTCGAGGATTGTGTTTGTCCGATTTGGAGTATAG